CTCGCTGGGCTTGTGTGACTTTTTTCTTCCCCATATCACTGAAGTTTTCTGATATTATTTCTTCGAATAGGTTTTCTAATCCTTGTTCATCTTTCTGTTGTTCTGTTACTCCTATTATTCGTATGTTGTTTCATTTCATATTGTCCCAAAGCTCCCTTAGGCTCTCCTCCTGTCTTTGAATTTTTTTCTCCAGTTGCAGTTCAGTTTGGGTGTGTTTTGTTTCCCTGTCTTCTAATTCGCTAATTTCAGTCCTCCGCTTCTCCTAGTCTACTGTTAAAACTTTCAACGGTGTTTTTTATTGCAGCTATATCACTATTCATTTCTTCTTGGTTCTTACATAATTTATTGATTTTTTCATCTGTTCTTCTTGATTCTTGCATAAGTTGTTGATTTTTTTCCTCCATCTGGTTTATGCACTCTAGGACCCTTAATCTGAATTCTTTTTCTGTCATGTTGCATGCCTCTGTATCACTTAGCTGCTTTTCTGGCGAGTCCTCCTTTTCTTTCCTTTGGGGGTTTCTCTACACATGTTTGATCTTACCGCCATATCTAAATGTTGAGTCATTCAGTGGCTGCTCCTTGGGTGGCAGTGGCTCCTTGGGCAGTTGTGGTAGCAGCTGCTCCTCAGTTGGCAGCAGCTCCTCTGGTGGGTGCTGTTCACAACTGTGGTGGCTCCTCTGGCTAGTGGGGGGAGGCTTCACACACAGCTGCTATTCCTCGGAGGGTGTGGTGATCATGAGGCTGCTGTTCCTTGGATGGGGGCCTGTATATACTAATTTTGTGTTCTTTAGCTTTATGATGATTTTAATGTCCTTTGACTTTAATGATGTCCCACTATTTATATTGTTCCTTCATTTTGAAATTAAGGCTACTATGTCAAAGTAAAGATTTTTAACATAGTTTTGTAACTTACTTTTTGGACCAGATTCAGAAACACGAGTGGATCTGAAACTTATGTACCCAGATCCTCCAAGAGATCAGTACACCTTAGAGATTCAGCAGCAAGCCCTGCTGAGAGCACAGCAGAAGAGACTTAACAGAATAAAAATGCAGGAAGGTGCTGAAGGTAAGAGATAATCATTGCTGCTTCCAATAGGACCAGCGGGTTTTATTAATGGCTTCCTTTCTCCATCTTTTGTGTTGATTTTGTCCAAGGCAGGCTCCTCCTACTGGCAAATCCACGATAACAGACCCTTCAGCCTTTAGACCCAGAAAAGCATCTGTTTGGCTTGGTTGGGGTCAGGTGTTCATCCATCCATGCATGAGCAGGGCCTAGCCACGCACTAGAACCAGGAGGACTGAGTGCCTGGATGAGGCCCCGTGACACCAGAGACTAGGATCCAAGGGGAGGAATGCTGGGCAAACACATCAGTGCCTTCCCTATGCGGCATTTCTCTACTGTGTGTGTCTGTTTTAACCGTTTGACTGCTAAGGAGCGCTATCGCGCTCTTCTTATTTAAAACAAATTTATGTAAACAATTAGTATTTTTTAATTTTTGTTGTTGCAAAGCAATACAAGTGAGTTTATTGTATAAAAAGTGTTTTACATTTTTTCCCATACACGCGCAATTAGTGCCGTAGTTTTGGCATATGTCCGAAAAAATACGTCAGCAGCCAAATGGTTAAGGTTTGATATGGTATTAAGTTGGTCAAGCATTGGCTTATACTGTTGGAGAAATAGATGCTAAAAAGTGTAAGGATGATGACTGCTGCAAAGGAGAAATCTGGGGTCCCTTGGAGTATAACGGGTGGTTGTGGTCAGTCACTTGGAGGCAGAGTGGAGCTAGTTGCTCCAAAGCATCGATGGTTCCTGTTGACGGGATGGATGACTGTATGACCCCATGCACATATTTCACCAGCCTTCAGGCCTTTGAGGGTGGCCATGGAAAATGAGTTATAAAAGTGCAGCATCCAAGAACAGGAGGAGATGGTCCTATCAGTTGTATTTAGGAAAACTTCAGAACCTACCGTGGCAAGCTGGTGTGGCCTGCACATCTGAGGAACCTGTCTTGACCATGTGAGATAGACTCACAGGAGTACGAGGTACCACCCTTTAGGCCCATGTCACCGGTCAGGACTTGGGTAACAGTTGATCTAGGGGTAGTTTCTCCTCCATCTGATACAGAATTTTAAAGTGGTTTCAATTTCAGGCTCTTATGCTACCATCTGTTGATAGCAGAATAACCCAAATTCTATGATAAATAGTGGGCCAGTTCTCGGGAGAGAAGAGAGAAGCAAGTACATATTTCAAGTTTTATATCCATTTTAGTGGAATTTTTCTTTAGGAGACTCAAAAGTAGTCCCCAGGTAGATACAGGTGCATTTTGGTACTGGAGGTCTCCACCCCCAGCTTCTGACAAATACTATTGAGAGACACATAGGATTGCTGGTTAAATTGGAGAGGGGCTTTTAGGATACTGATCCAAAATCTTCCCCCTGAAACCAGGTTAGCTTCCTTCAATTACATGTGAGGAAGTCCACTCAACAAATTTCTACACAGATTGTAGAATTATGGGAAGATGGTGAAGAATCCTGCATTGTTTTCTTTTCCTGTAGTTATCAGCTTTACGTGCACAATGATTTTACTTTTCATATTTATTGATAAGTAATATCTTTTTTTTTAAAAAAAATATTGATTTCACAGAGGAAGAGAGAGAGAGAAACATCCCTGATGAGAGAGAATCATGCATCGGCCGCCTCCTGCACGCCCCCTACTGGGTATCGAGCACACAACCCGGGCATGTGCCCCTGACTAGAATCGAACCCGGGACCTTTCAGTCTGCAGGCGGATGCTCTATCCACTGAGCCAAACCAGACAGGGCAGTAAGTAATATCTTAAAAGCAGTCTGTAATGTGATGGTTGACAAGTAATTTCCAGTACAGAGATAGTCACAAAAGATATTCTAAAATTTATTTTACTTTTGAAATGCTTTCTAACCTTTTAATTTGGTTTTCTTCCCCATTGGCTACAGTGGACTTGGATGCCGTCCCAAGCGTTCAAGTACAAAATCACAGAATGGTAAGAAACCAGTTCTAATTTTTCAAGCTGTTTTTTGGGGGATAAAATATATTTTTAGTAATATGATGAGTATTCCAATTTTGAATTTTCAGGAAAATTGAATTAAGGATTTTAAATCTTGTCTCATCAGTGCATTGGGTAGCTAGAGATTTATTAGTAGAGAAAGTATATTGTAATAGCTAAGAGAGCTCCTTTTCCCAATGCTGTGTGGCCTGAAACGTATCGATACCGATTCCTGGATACTATGCAGGTCTGGTGGTTTCTCTATAAGAGGTAACCACATTTATCAGTGAAAAGATACTGAAATTTAACATTTAGAATTTTGGTTAAAATGACAATGCCATATTTTGTTGAGTAGAAACACAGTATAAGCCGAAGTTCAATCTTGGCTTTTTATAAAAAAGCTCAAATTTTCAGATCCTCATTTTCCTAGAAACTGGATTATATGAAAAATACAGGATGAATCTGGAGAAGATAGGGCTTAGTAGCCTGTCACACTCTGTTCATTATGGGAGGGCTGCGATGCAAGAGAGGGGTTGAATAATATGTGTGCATGCTAAGAACAGCTGGGGCAGAACATCTGTTAAATATTGGATGCTGTTATTATCAATTATTATCCAACTAGAAAGCAGTCAGAGTCAATGGGTGTTAAAAAGGAGATTTGAATTCAGTGGAATGTTTCTCCTTATAAGAGTGACAGCTCTTCATGGGAGTGAACCAGCACATCCTAGAAATCTGGAGAGGAGGTGAAGTCACCTCTCACATTGAGAGCTCATTACAAGCTGAACCCTTGCATTACTTTTTTTACCCTATTCTCTGTCCCTCTGGAAACCGCGGTCATACAGTGCTGTCATTATCGAGGGCTATGATAGACCTACTCTAGAGCAGAAATTCTTACTCATTTTTGCATCTCCACTTTCTAGCATGGAGGAAACTGTGTGCTATACAGAATCTCAGCAATGGTTTAAAGATGGATAATGTTTAATTGGGGTCATTGCCTTATACTCTGTTTTCATCAGCAGTAATATAACCCTTAATAAAAGCCCCCCTCTCCCCTCAGTATTTTCTGAGCATTGGAATGTAGTGTAGGAGGGAAAGCAGCTAGTCCTACCTTTCCCGATCCTATTTTGCGGACACTTATGCCTCTTAGTACAAAATGTTTTTTTTCACATGGGACTAATTAATATATGATGTTTCTTTTAGCCCAGAGATAACCCTGATGATTTCTTAAAAAATTCATTATTGGAATCCGATAGTGCTTTTATTGGTGAGTATATTTATTTTATCAAACTATGTTAAAATATTAAACCTTTATATTTCCTTTAAATATTTTCAAAAATATTTACAAAATTAATATTTCATTCTTAGTAAGTAATCATCAGACGTGATTTACAATGCTTTCCAAATCAGAACAATCAAAATTAACTTTAGAAGTCCTAGGAAGGATTCCAGTCAAAATGGTGAAGTAGGTAAAGGCCATGCTGGCCTCCTCCCACATTTTGAATTTGCTCGCTTTAGGATGAGGGCAGAAGGGATAGGGGTTAAGGCAACCCCATCCCGGGAAAGGAAGTGTGGGCAAGCACATTGTTCCTTTGTTGAATGTTCCTCCAGCCTAGCGGGCAGGCACCAATCTAAGCTCTCCATTAACCTGGGAGTACTGTTCCCTTAAGGTACACAAAACCCCAGGAGTGCAGCAGCTCAGTGGCCCCCAAATTGGCATAAGTTGCAGCCAGCTTGTAATGTAGCTTAAACTAAGCAGCTACAGGACTGACACTGTGGTAGCTGGCCTCAACTCATATCTTGGTACCCACCCAAGGGTCCCCAGCCTAGTGCCAGCCAGCCTTCATTCACAGCATAGCCTCTCCCAAGCACCTCCAATCCCAGCACAAGTAGCAACTAACAGCAGATCATTTGGTAGCTCCCACCATAGGCCCCAAGCCAGGCACAAATAGTGGCTGAACATGGCTTCCTGCAGAGCCCCTTCCTAAGACTCCAGACCATGCGAAAGCACCATCCAACCAGCTCCACAATGATACTCCTGAAGGGCAGACTTATCTGGCACCAGAGCTCCCATAAAGAGACTTCTGCATGAGCTCAGACCCTGCACACGGTAGAGCATGTAAAAGAAATCAAAATTGTATGCTGTAGCACTCTTTACTGAATGCAAAAGGGAGACCTCTGATTATCAACTTACTAAATGCTACTTATAAAACTTTTCATCCAAAAATAACATAATACACATTCTTCTCAAGTGCACATGCAATATTCTCAAGGATAGGACCAGATGTTGAGACACACGAGCCTCAATAAATTTAAGACTGAAATCATACCAAGCATCTCCTTCAAGCACGATGGCATGAAACTAGAAAATCAACCATAAATAAATTGCAGGGCACAAAAAATCAGTATACAGAAGTCTGTTTCTCTATAGGCAATGAATTATGAGAAAAAGAAATGAAAACTCCATTTACAATCGCAACAAAAATAAAATACCTAGAAATAAATGAACCAAAGAAGGCGAAAGACCTGTATGCTGAAAAGAGCCAATACAACGCTGAAGAACAGAAGTGGAGGGCTAAACACTACCGGCCTTCAGGACTTCCTATAAAGATACAGTGGTCAAGACAGTGTGGTACTGGCAAAAGAATAATAGACAAATAGATCAGTGGAACAGACCCACACAAGTATAGTCCACTGATCTTTGACAAAAGAGCAAAGGCAGTATAACTGAGGAAAGACAGTCTTTTCAACAATTGGTGCCTAGAACCAGACAGTACATGCAAAGAAAGAATCTAAATGCAGACTTTACACCCTTCACAAAAATAAACTAAAATGGACCTTACAAGAACTCCAAGAAGATAACAGGAGAAAACTAACAAGAACTTGGGTATAACAATGACTTTTTAGATACAACAGTAGTACAGTTCATGAAAGAGATAACTAGGCTTCATTAAAAATTCATGTTCTGTGAAAGTGTCAAGAGAATGAGAAGACCACCCACAGACTGGGAAGCAATATTTGGAAAAGATACCTTTGAAATAAGAGTGCTATCCAAAATACGTATTCACTCTTAAAGCTCATCAATAAGGATAATGATAACCCAATTAAAAGATGGGCAAGAGATCCAAACAGACACTTCATTAAATAAGCATATAAATAGATGGGCTACATCATGTCGTCAAGGAAATGCAAATTAACACAACAGTGAGGTACCACTACCTACCTATTAGAATGGACAACACCAAATGCTGGCAAGGATGTGGAGGAACAGGAATTCTCACTCGTTGATGGTGGGAATGCACAATGGTACAGACACTTTGCAAGACTGTGGTGGTTTTGTACAAAACTAAATGTACTCTTACCATCTAGCAGTCACATTCCTTGGGATAAATACCTGACCACTGTGCTGTACACTTGAAATTAATATAATATTGAATGCCAACTGTAATTGGAAAAAAAGAAAAAAGACTGACAATGCCAAATGTTGGTGAAGATGTGGGAAACTACGACTTTATTATAATGTAAAATGGGTGGAACAACTTTTGAAAATGGTTTGGCAGTTCCTCGAAAAAGGCGAAATGTAAAGTTACCCAGTAGTTTCACTCCTGGGAAAATACTCCAGAGAAATGAAAACATGACCACAAAAAAGACATGTACATGAATGATCATAATAGCCTTATTAATAATTGCCAACTAGATCCAATTCAAATGTCCATCAGCTGGTGAATACATTGATAAAATGTGACATATCCATGTGGTAAGAGTACTTACAATTCAACAATGAAAAAAGAATCAGCTACTGATATATTACAACATAGATGAACCTCAAACACATGCCAAGTGGAA